GAGCTCTGACTTCTTTATGTGTGTGGACAAGGAGAATGTGTTGCACCCCTGCTCTTCCTGATGACTTAGCACCATTCTTCTCAGTCAGCAGGAAACTCACCTTGTCAATATTCCCATTTTTATTTGAAAAATTCTTAATGGGATAAGCCCTCAAAACAAAACCAGCCTCTTGCATGTCAAAAGAAGTCAGATGCAAAGTATTTACTGCCAACACTTCTCCCCTCACCCTAAAGGGCTGATTAATTTTATCCCTTAGGGCATCTATCATTTCACATCCCACATAATTTTTTTTCCTGCTGGCACTGCCTTATTTTCACACATCAAGAGAGTATGTGCAGACACAAACCAATTCACCACTTGGAGTAATTGTTTGAAAAACAAACAGCAGTTTCACCAGGGTCCTAACAAGAATATCATGAATTGATGCTTTTCATCTCTTCATTATCTTTCTGCAAGAGTCGGCTGGCATCACGTGTTCTCTGCCTCTGTGCAGTGACATTGGAACTTGTCATCCCTCCCATCTGTAACAGACTGTTTGGGAGGCAGCAGCCACTTACAATGTAACAATCGGAGGCCCTTGCTAAGCTGGAGAGACTTTCAAAAGAAACAGAACATAAGCCAGAGAGGAGTATTCTGCTGGTATGTGCATCATGGCCCCCTCATTTATATTTGTATGCTGCTGTGAAAATAAAGCCGTAAGCTGAGGTTTTCAGTGTCTAAACATCTCTTCTGTTTAAAACAGCTGCTGAATTTTAATCAGAACCTAAAAACCAAAATCACAACCCTGGCTAATGCAATACATCCCATCAAAATATTTTAAGTGCTTCCATGTCTCCATTTCTGTGGGGGTTTTTTAGTTTTTACTGTTTGGTTGGGTTTTTAAATTAGATCTTTTGTGCTGGCTTTAAAGAATTTGCATTCAGAGTCATGCTGCAAGATTTTAGCCCTGTGTATAAGTGAGAAGGTCTCATTTTAAGGAAAAAAACTTGAAATGTACTTGCCTATGAAATGGCTAGTGCTAATGCCACATGATTGAAACCACCCCCATCTGGAAGAGAAATAATGTATCCATCACAAGACTGGAAATTTACAAGGAATATCAAAAACGGATTCAGGCAAAACTGTTCGCATTTTTCAAACCTTACTGAACAAGATACAAATAAATCTAGAGAGTGGGATCAAAAATAATTGAAGCAATTAGGGGATGATTTTTAAGACAGTTACAAAGGGTGATAAAGTTATCAAGTAACTAGCCAGTGTTACTAAGAAAGGCTGTGAAAGCAAGTGTGTGTGCGCGTGTGTGCACGAGAGAGAGAGACAGAATGAGAGAATGAAAAAGAAAATTAATAGGTAGGTTATTGATTCTGATCCACACTCCTGCAACTATACACAACAAACAGGAGTGTAATTTAGTTTTTAATTTTTGTCTTGAACATTCAGCTGTTAATTGTAACTATTTGGTCTTTCAATGGGGTTAGGCTCTATGCTGGTGGGCTGGGCTCTCAGTTCTTTCTGTCAGAAAAGAAGCGCCTCCACCATTAGTTAAACTGGCAAATTTGTTCTTGGATCCAATGATTCCACAACAAGTGGCCATGACACAACTTGCTCCTTTCAGTGCCAGGGGTTCTCACCCTTTCTCTTTCTGAGTCCTCCCCACCCCCCTCAACATATTATAAAAACTCCACGGCCCACCTGTGCCACGGCAACGTTTTTCTGCATAAAGGGCAGGGCCAGCGTTGGGGGGTAGCGAGCAGGGCAACTGCCCAGGGCCCCATGCCACAAGGGCCCCCGCAAAGCTACATTGCTAGGCTTCGGCTTCAGCCCTGGGTGGCAGAGCTCAGGGCCTTGGGCTTCAGCCCCATGCAGTGCGACTTCAGTTTTCTGCCCTGGGCCCCAGAGAGTCTAATGCTGGTCCTGCTTGGCAGATCCCCTGAAACCTGCTTGCAGCCCCACAGGGGCCCCTGGTTGAAAACCACTGCTGTAGAAGAGAGGAAAAAGAGTTCTTAAGCAGAAACTAAGAGACTAAAATGGCCTGGGACCTGGTTATGCACCCGACCAGTTCTCATCGTTTCCCCGTCAAGGTAGTTAACGTCAATCGGAAGATTCTTGCTGCCAGAGCCTATGATTGGACTCCATCCTCACTGCAGGGCTTTCTCAGAAGTGAGAACTCTCACAAGCTCCTAAATCTGGCAGCTGTCAGGGCTCGATGCAACATGCATTTCTTCTGCTTAGGGTTCATGTTAGTATTTTGTTTCTACTTCATGCTTTGGCAAATGGCATCTCTAACATTTGACTCTCTGTAACTGCAGTGCTTTACTACCACAGCCACAGGTTCTAGCGAGAAGAAAAACGCCAAAGGACCTGGTTGCAGGCATCAGTGGTTTGCAAGTGCCCTTGTCTTGTCCAGTGGGCGTTACTGCAGCAAATAGAAATTGCAAGCAGAGGCCGAATGGCAATGAGTCAGCCAGGCAGAAAGGCATGAGAACAAAATGAATGGAAAGGCAATAAACCTGTAATATTTCACCATCCGTACTGAATTCCTGGATAACCTCAATCTATGAGTGTTATAGGAGATGAGTGTCTATGAGTGTCCCTGGAGATGTAGTTACAGTACATTAATGACATCACCAATGAAGAGAAACAGCAAAGTGAATGCACTTTCTCTCCACTGTGGTGAAACCATCATGAGGGAGGGATGGTGCAGCTGGCACCCCGGCCTCTTTGTGGATTCTTAAGCCCCTCCGATTCTCCTGCAGTTATCAGATAACTTCCAATCGAGCAAAGAAAAGGCTCCCAGGGTTTACTGGCTTCCCTCAAGGAAACAGGAGTAAGGGAAGTCACGAGGCAATGCCAAGCAGTGACAAAGGGCCTGATTCAGAACAGGGCTGCCCAGAGGATTCAGGGGGCCTGGGGCAAAACAATTTTGGGGGCCCCTTCCATAAAAAAAAGTTGCAATACTATAGAATACTATATTCTCGTGGGGGCCCCTGTGGGGCCCGGGGCAAATTGCCCCACTTGCCCCCCCCTCTGGGCGGCCCTGATTCAGAAAAGCATCCCTATTTAGGAAGGGCATTTAAGTAAAGGCTTAAACGCTTCCTGCACAAGAGCCATATTTGTGAAATACTTGGGGATGAGGGAACAGAAAAACACAGAGGTCTCAGAGATTAGGAGAGAAGTAAATACCATGTGGTATGGTATTCAATGAATTAAATGTAAAAAATTACACACACACACACACACTCACACACACAGAAGCATTCTCTGGAAATAGCTAGGTAGCAACCCAAAGTTTAGAATCAGAGAAAGGGGAGTTTAAAAGCAGGGAAAGGAGATTTCCCTGCTTCTCTTTGACACACACAGGGTGCAATAGTTCATCTCAGGGAGATAGTAGGGGAGACCCTATTACTCAGGATATTTAAAACTTAGATTGGACAAAGCTCTAGAAATTGTACAATAAATAACTACCCTGCACTTGATTTCCCTGGGGATGGATTCACTAGGGACCCAAATGGGCCACATTTTTTTAAACGCTCTCTAAGTTTGCTCTCACAAATTAAATTATTTAGACATCTAACTAGCTGACCGTACCCAAAAATCAGGCAGAAAATCCACAGTCAATCTTTTGCACCACAGTGCAGCAGGTGCCAAGCATACATTCGTAGGAAATATAACCACTTACTGGCTTTGTCTGGAAGTTAGTCACATAGCACTACGTTGGCACATGCTAATCACCTGACCAAATGGAGTCCTGCTTTCTTTCATATTTTCTAGGCACTCTTGCATTTGTCCCTATAGCCTACTTGGTGCAGAAATAACAATGACCAAAAAAAGCTGATTCCCTATTAGCAACACAGAAATCTCAGGCAGCCAATTAGAACAGAGCTCTTTAAAGAGATATAAAACCAAGATTTTTGTATTGAGATACGTGCCACAGATGGCATACCAGATGAGGATTAATTTATGAATCATGTTTCTTAAATGATATGGTCTACCTTTCCAGTTTCATATTTTCCTTTTTTGACTTGAAGCAGGGATTTAGGTTCCCCTCCCAGCTATGAATTTTTTATGAACAAGTATTACAAAAATAGTAGTAATGAAGCCCAAACCCCAACAACATATGGCAAAATTTTCCATGTGAACAACTGTGCAACCTATCTACCTATGAATGGGTATGTGAGGAAATATAGATATTTGCATGCTCAGACCTTGTTCCACCTTTGAAAATTTGTTCTCCAACACTTAGAGACCACTAATCCTAAATAATGCTTTCTAGCAACTTTATTTCAGACAGGATCCTGATTTACAAAGGCGGGGTAATAGATCATTATTATACCTTGATTTTTTTCCTTTCATGTGGAAAGGAAAGTTCAGTATAAATAAGTCTCCTAAGATGTATATTTCCAGTTAGATTGCACCCTGCTCTGATGCATATTGCGAGTTGATTCTTTTGCTATCTTTTATCCTTTTGACCTTTGAAAGCATTTTTGGAAGATCCAGTGACATCTGATAATTAAAAGACATTAATCTCTCACTGATGAAGTGAGAAAGACATTCATTTTTAGGTTCCTCCGTTAAAAAATTTACCAAAAACCACAACAGTGGAAGATTTCAGAATAGGGAGTCACAACATTCCACAAAATGCAAATAAAATGCTAATGATCAGTTACCCCATCCCATGTCCAAGTTGCAATGTAAAAGAAAAACACACAACAGAACTGTGTACCAAAAAGAGAAAATTCAAAGCTCTGAAGTACTCCCTCTTTGTAAAGGTTTCCTCAGTTAAGACAAGATTATGTCATCCTTGTAAACCACATCACCATGTTTCTTGTGAGAACAGTTGTTTTCAGTCACGCATCCATCTTGGCGATACATACAAGTTAAGTTGCCTCATGGCTCATCTCTATATTACCCTCTACTCAACACCAAGGATTTAGCTTGTCTTCTAGACCTCATGTTAGAATGAGGGGAGAGAAGGAAAAGGATAAAAAAGCATCACTTACCCTTAAATTATTTCAACACCATCCCGCTTTCCCTGTTTTGTTTATGATGTGGGCCTCCCTTTTGGTTACTTTTTCCAGATTTGGTCTTTGGGTAGGTGAAGAGGAGAGTGGAAGGGTTTATACTTGCTGATGAAGGAGACTGTAAAACAAAGAGAAGTGATTTAGTGCAAAATAGTCCCCTATGTACATACATATCAGATTACTGACACCTACATTAATGCAATGCTTTCTACTGTTTTTATGCACACATACAAATATCACACGGATCAAGGAAAATGCAGTTGTCAGTTATTTGGAGGGGGAAGAGCGATTTATAAAAAAATACAACCAAAAAACCCCAGCTTTTAAAATACCAACAAAGGAAGCTTCTGCTGCTCTTTAGCAAGATACCAGCCAGTGCACTGGGCAACTGTGTAGAAGTGGGTCTGCCCTCAGAACTTGCCCTCTCTAGGCAGGTATAGAGATGTACTCCACCAGCTGGAGATGAAATAGCAGGATGAGGTGCATTGGTCTTCAGCACCTCATGCTGGACAATTTATTAAGCAGCATGGGTGGCAGAACAAACCATCTACACATTTTTTGCTGAACAAATATAGTGGCACAATAGGGGCCATACTGAGAGAGCAAAAGGAAAATTAAGAGCTGAAGAGACAAAAAAAGATGAACAGAAAGGAACTGCTGGACATTAAGCTAATGCTTAGAGCCCAGGGCAAGATCAAACCAATCTGTGTCAAAAGGCTTTCATAAACTCTATTCATTGAGCAAAGGTAGGTATGGGAAACTGCTCAAGTCAGGCGAAAGGGCAGAAAATTCTGGAATTTCAGCTCTTCCCCTACCCCCGGCAAATGGACAAAAGGTTCTTCCACGCTACATTCAAACATCAACAGGCATCAAATGCAAGCATTCGTCCAAATCTTCTCGCAACAAAAGGCTGCATATCGTGGAGTGAAATTAACTATGGACAACATTTTGGGCTCCACAAGTACCCCCAAAGCTACAGTTTATGTCACACCATCTGCTTTAACTGCAGAATTTCTTACAAGTGATTATTTTCCCCAAATACCCACAGACCCATGCATCTATTTAAACACCCAGACAATCAGGCTATAAAAAGTCACAGGGTAAATAGCTGCTGTACAAATAAATGTGAGGTTTTGGGGGGGGTCTTAAACAACAATACATTTTTGATGTATGACAGAAGATTCATTTTTACACCTCCACCCCTCTCTCCACGCTTGGCTCACACCTGGACTCTTAAGGCAACATAGTGACCAGGAGAAATGTCTTGGGCTATTTCCTTGACACTGATCTCCACCAATCATGATTTATTTTTCTACTGCACAGTTTTAGGTCCTTAAAATGTAACTTTATTTTTAGATGGTTGAAAGAAGAATGGAGATGAGAAAGGAATGATTTCAGGGTTATTTGATGTCATTAAAACTGTCCAACCTTTTGTATCCCATTAAAATCTCAGACACGCCCAGAGTCATTTTCCCCCCAACCCCACGATTAATATACACAGCTCCAAAGACAACAACAAATCTTTACATACGTCCTTGGCTAAGTTAGGTTGTAAGGTACTAGAGGTAAGGATTGTGTTGATTTGCACTGTACAGCACTATATTTACTGGTGACACCACAAGAAAATGTATAATCAGAAATACTAAACAGAGCTCACAACAAACAGCTAATGGTTATATAACATAGCACTTTTCAATAGACCTCAAAGCACTTTGCAAAGCTGGGAAGCTTTCCATTCCCATTTGACAGAACAGGGAAGCTCAAGCACAGCTGAAGAACTGAGGTTAAGGTCAGGGGCAGAGCTGGGAATCAGTCCCTGGCCTCCTGACTTCTTACCCAGCGCCCTACCTGCTGGAATACATTACCACATTAGTGCTTTTAAAGAGAAGTGTTATTATGAGCACAAGTAATATAGACTCCCTGCAAATTATATTTTTTAGTACAGAGAATAAATAATTTAAACACTTTAAAAAAAACACCCTCAGCCTAATAATTGCTGAAAGAGGTGACAAAGCTGGTATAGAATCATAGAATATCAGAGTTGGAAGGGACCTCATCTAGTCCAGCCCCCTGCTCAAAGCAGGACAAATCCCCAGATAGGTTTTTTTTTTTTTTACCCTGTTCTCTAAATGGAACCCTCAAGGATTGAACTCACAACCCTAGGTTTAGCAAGCCAATGCTCAAACCACTGAACTATCCCTCCCCTCATAAATGGTAGCATCTTACTGCACCCATTAAGGGGAATGCTTGCATGGCTGCAGTCTCACTAATTTTCCTAGTGAGATTTTTAGCTCCCCTGTTGCAATACAGAATAGCTCGTAGGGGGCAATTGGGTTGAGGGTGTGCAACCACCTACAAGCAATTCAGGGAACCTGCACACCCGTCAGAATCATTTCCAGATTTGCTGTCATTACTCCTGCTCTCGAGCTATTAGATAAAAGGTAAAGCTAAAAAAGTAGGCAATTTGAATTACTCATGGACAGCAGAAAACTGAAGCTATAATTTCTCACATGTTTTTAATGGGTGTAGGTGTTTATATGTGAATACACTTGGAAAACAGACAAACCTGATGCCTGGAAAGAGGTCTTCTTAAAAAGAATTCAGGGAAAAGGCAGCACATGTAGTCTCTGTTCTACCCCTCGGAATTTCTGTAGAGGCCATTGTTAGCATGTAACTCGGTTACTGATTGCAGATCATCCCAAGGGTCACTTGGGATGGGTCATGTTTGTGGCTTTACATTAACCCAAAGGAGCAATGGGATGAATGAGCCAGTGGAGCAGCTGAACTAAGCAGAAAAGCTCCCATGGGGACTAAAGAATATATTTTTGGTATCTGCTATTTTAAACGAAAGGTCAGAGTCCAGAGTCCTAAGTGAGGGTTGATTTGTGGGAGAGAGAGAGTTAAGAAAGCTGTTATGATGATTGGAGCTGGTGTGCAATAGGCCAGATGGAAAGATGGATCTGATATATCTGAAACCCAAGGCACAAATGGCCCTAGTAAAAAGAACATCAGAAGATTAAGTACTATAACTTGAACCCTGACACATAATTAACCATATTCTTGTGGCCTGGGGTCACGCATCCTCCCCCAAAGATTCATCTAGCTTTCATAATATTATCTTTAATGTTTGGAAACTGGGTGTCCCAGGGAATGGGTAAGAGGATACAGAGTCTTTCACCAGGAAGTTGTTAGTCTGAGTCTAAGTCCGGTCAGCAGTGATATGACCTAATGGCTATTCACTGATGTATCTGAAGGAGGTCTCAATCCTCTTCCAGTGGATAGGTTTCGAAATAACACACAACAGAGATGCTACGAACTGAATGGGCCATGGAAATGCAAATCTCCTCCTACTCAGAGTAAAAATCAATATGAGCACGCAGGCAGGTCAGACTGGAAGCTCTTTGGGGGCAGGAACTGTTTATTTATTCTGTGTCTGTACATCACTAACACAATGGGGTGCCGGTCCATGACTAGGGCTCTATCTGACATGCTATGATAATACAAATAAATAGATAACACAAGGGACATTTCCACTGTTGTCTATGCCAAACATAGTTTGCTGCTGAATAAAGTATTTCAGGTCTCCTGCCAGTTCAGTACCTTTCACCAACACTAAATTAGTTGTGAAAATGTTTAGGCTGTGATTCTCAAAGGAGTCTAAAGGAGCAGTAGATGCCCAAATCCCACTGGATTTTAATGGGCTTGTGCACATAAATCTCCTAAAATTTGTCTATACTGCAACTAAAAGTGTGGTCGCAGCACCTGTAGACACTAGCTTTAATCTAGCTAGCATGGGTACCACAGCAGCATGGGCTTCCTAGCGGGCTGTACAAGCCTGGCTGGGACACTCGGTGCTTCCTGAGGTGGCTAGCCCGCACTGAAGTCTGTGCTGCCACCGCTCCACTATCATCGGTACTGGTGCTTAGCTTTGGGCCCCCCCACGTCTCCTCTGGCTTGATTAAAACTAGCTCAGGTATGTCGACGCGTGACACACACACACACACACACACACACACCCTGATTGCAGTATAGCCATACCCTGAGGCTCCTTTGAAAGTCACAACCTTCAAGTCTCAAGTTGAAGTTTAACTTCCAGTGCATATCAAAACAACATTTGAAAGAGAGTTCCCCCAACTTGCTTATTACAACAGCCACAAGCAGGAAAACATCCATTACAAACAAGCACTTTGGCTGGTTTTTTTATGACCTTAGCTGCAATCCAACATATAGGTCCCATTATGAAAGTGCTATTTTATCGCATGCCACTCTACAGAGAGAAGATACAAATAAAGTCTTTCAAGGGAAATTGGGGGAGGTTATTTTTGTTGTTGCTACCTTTGCTATTTGAGTAGCATAGCAGGTGCTGTTGGCCTTTTTAGCAGGCTGACAGGCCTCAAGGCAGGGACAGCTTCACAGGTTTGGCCATGTGCACTCCAGTTTGAAAATAAATCTAACCTTCCAATGTCTGTTTCTATGCCATCATTCCTCCCTGGAAAAATCTGTGTGCCTGGAAGAGTTCCCCAGAGGTCTGTTATACCTTCCCTTGTCAGAAGCTCATTATAGCATGTTTATGAAGGGTAGGGGCACAAAGGGTCTTGGGAGTTGCAATCCCAACAATCATCCATGCCAAACCCCAGCAGCTAATTACAAAACATGATGAAATTACAGAAAAAGAATCTAGCTTTATCGGTGTATGTTTCTCTCTATATAAGACAGAGACTGACCTTCAGACAGATGGGTGATAGGTACAATATAGATTAGAGGATGGGTGTGATAGGCACACAGACACAAGGAATGTGTTTGCATGTGTAGTACCATATTTTTGACACCAAGGCATGCCAAGAACACGGAACGTACTTTATTCTGTACACTCATTTTCCCGTCAAGACATCCACAGCTTTGTAATACTATAAATCCAGCTGACCTTGGACTCTCATGGGCTTGGTAAGACCACAGGGAGAAAGGCACTTGGCAATTTTTTTCTGCCCCTGAAATTCACTGAGCTTAAAGTTAGTCTTGTATAGGATCTCCAGTCATATTTCAGCTTAACCACTAAGTTCAAGTTATTTGGGAGGAGGGGGGCGGATGGGATAGAG